CATCATCATCATCATCATCATCATCATCACCATCATCATCATCATCATCATCATCATCATCATTATCATTCTTTTACAGTAGAAAAAATACTGGAGGCTTGGGTAGTTATAGTTGTGTATATTTATCAAAATGTTCGACATTTTGTCAATACTGGCATCATCAAGAACATAGCAAATTTAAAAATCCGCTATGACATCAAAGCGTTCACTATTTTTCGTATGACGCGTTATAGACAATATCGGAAAGAGCCGACGCTCAGAAAAAGAGAACATATCAAGTTACTCTGGCTGGCTTTCATCATCATCATCATCATCATCATCATCATCATCATCATCATCATCATCATCATCATCATCATCATCAACTATCCTGTAGTTTTGCCAATCGTTGTGGGCACAATGGATGACTTTCTACTTATCTCATTTCACTTGTTTCGATTGTTCACAGCTTTATAAATATTTCAAGACTTTTTCTTTCTGAGATGTCATCCTCCCGTATCGTTCTCTTCGGCCTTTTTCTCCTTTTGTCACCTTGTGCCCTGCAGGACAGTACAGTTGAACCTGCTATAACAAAGACCTGTTTAGGAGAATCACCTGTATAAGACAAACACCTGTACAAACAACCACTCCCCGTTTCCCCCTTTTGCGTTTTTCTACATCAGAATGATACTGTATTAGACAGTCACCTGTCTATGACGGCCATTTTTTTTCTTTGACAAAGAGTGGCCGTCTTAGGAAAGTTCGACTGTATATATATTTTTTTTCTTGTCGCTATATAAAAGGCAGACATAAGACTTGTGAGGTGAATGGGTTGTTGACTTTTCCTTCACGCAGGGCGTTCCCCTGTGCACGTGCCCTAGTGAGTTCGTGTGTCGGCGCAACAAAAAGAGAGAGGTTTGCGGAACGGACGGCAAGACCTACCCCTCGAGGTAGGTTGACAAAGTAGAAGAAAGTCTACGACTGAATGTATGGCAGCATGGTGAAATCAGGCGCTCCTTAAAAATAATGAAATCAAAGAAAAACCTTTTAGATCTATATCCATTTAAAAAACATATTCTGTGTAGCGGACTTTGATCCTTGATCAAAGGTATAAATTTAAAAAAAGCTAATTTGCAGTTTCCAAGGACACTCGAGCTTTGGAAGTCAGAAAACTTTGGAGGACATTTTCACCCTAATTTTACCTCTGACACCTGCCCCCCCCCCAACCTCCTTTAATCGCAAATGCCTCGACAGATGGATTTTTTTTCATCAAAAGCAAAATAAAGTAACACGCTTTAAGATGACCCAAAACAACTTTAAAGCAATATAGCCAAAAATTATTGACGAGCGCCTGATTTCATCGCGTCACGACTCAAAGTTCATTTCAATATGAGCTATTTTTGTGATCCGATAACGTCTGGGAATTTATCCTCGTTTTTGCTTGATGTTCTTCGGTCACCGTGTGACTCAAGCTGTTTTTGTCATTGTGACAATCGTTTTTCTACTCAAAATATAGATCGAATGTCTCTTGAAATGTGCGTATTAGCAATTTGACGTAAGTGAGAGTATTGTCCGTTAAACGAGACACGATTCTCGGAGAGAAAAAAATCTTCTTTCGAAGATATTATGTTTCAGTGTACATGTTCATATCTTTAACGAATTTTAATATGAGCTGAAGAATATTATTTTATTTAGGATCTTCCTATTAGCGAGGATGTTAGGAATCTCTGTCAGAATGCTTGTGTTTGTGTGTATGTATGTGTAAACGTGTGATTGTTTTTGTGTGTATGTCTATGCATGTGAATGTGTATGTCTTGCGTGTGTGTGTGTGTGTGTGTGTGTGTGTGAGTGT